GGGGGGCATGGGGTGTATGGGCAAATACACCCTCTACAACTGCAGCAGGGCATCAGTAATCACATTCCTCAAATATACAAGTTAGAAGGGTTTAAAAAACCAYACAGACATATTTAAGTTGTAAAATTTCAGTGAAATGAGGGTGGCAGTCAGCGTTGGAAAAAGAAAAAGCATTAGAACTAGCAGAGATTTTACTTGGAAACAACTTACATAAATGAGTTAAGTTCAAAAACAGCTTTAGAAGTGAAATGATAAAATATTGYCTGGGCCCCTGTAGATAAACCAAGCCAAATCAATTACTTTTCTGTCTATAAGTCATGACCACTTTATAAAGTATAAAGTATAAAGTGAGCAAACAGAGGCACTAAATAATAAAGTGTTACCACTTCAACCACATTATTATATACAGCATCCAATTTTGGGAGTAGGAAGCTGGTGCCTCCCCTCACAGGCAGTTGCCATAACCAAGAGTAGTGACTGTATTGAGGTTATGACATATTTACTGGCTGCATAAAGACAATTTATAACCACACATGTAAACAGTTACAAGTTTATACAGCACATTTCTAAATTAAAGGAATTAAATATCAGTGTTCTGCTACCAAGTACAAATGGCTCAGCAATTGCCACTGGAAAACGAATGTGCTGGTTAGYACAGCCTGGAACTTACAGGCTGCAGAAGGAGATAGGGGAATGTAAAATTGAAGCTGAACAAGTATCAGGTAGGAAAATAGTAAATGGGGTCAYTACAGATTGCTTTCTCCTGACTTCGCTTGCTCTTTCAGCATTGCATGCTCTCTAGGACTTTTTGCAGTTTCAGTAATTCGGTMATTCCATGGGCAGGACCTTGCAGAGGAGAGAGCAGAAGTTTGGGGTGGTTTAGGTAATATTTTCAGCCGTGGTGCAGKCAGCCCATCAAGGTCCCTTCCAGCTTGGCTGGCTTGGTAGAGCCAGAAGCACAGAAATGCAGGACTGCCATGGTTTGTCAGCACAGGGCCTGGACTGTGTGTGTGCAGACACATGAAACAGAGCCAAGGACCTCAGGTGCACAAGCACTACCTTTTACCCTGAATCTCTACAGCTGACTCTACTGTTTGAATAGATAAAGGAGAGTTTTTTTTCCATACCCCAGTTCCGTATTGCAATGAGACAGCAGAAAATGAATCTGTTTCTTTTACATAAATATCATATCTTTTAGCAACAGAATGTAAGTAATTTGCCCAGAGTYGGGACCTTGCTGTGAAAATATATTCTGTGTAAGTCCAAGAGRCTACACTGAGCAGGAGCGATTTACAAAGCTTTATAAAAGTGGCACTCTGTTGCCAAGAGGGCAACTGTGAGTGGATGAGGACTGCATGTGGATGTGTCATGAGGTTGCCCTTGTAACTGTGGCTGGAGAAAAGGATGGGGCCATCTTTGCCTCTTGGATTGTACATCCTTGTGAAGAACACCAGATTTGACATGCAAGTGGGAAGAGACAGTCCCTGGTGCTGATCTCATGTGCCTGCTGCCATGGCACTTGGGCACAGTGCACCAACTCTCTAAGGAATAGAGGGCAGGGAGAACCCAAAGGCAAAAGTATCCCAGGTGCAGGAAAGACATGGCACTTTCTTTTTTTCACCATTCCTTTGAAATATGCTGTGCTTCAGGAGATGCACAAAGAGAGATTATGATTTACTTAGTTTCAGCTCTGAAGTATGCAGCACCACCACTGCTTGGGATTATTTTTCAGTGGATTCCCAGCCCTTGGAACAGCTTCCACCCAGCCCACACTGCTGTCTATAACCCCAGAGCACAGAGACGCATGGAAGAGAATTGTCCTATCCATGAGAAAGGTCTGCCAGCTGACTGGCTGGTGAAATACTGCCATATGGCTGTGCATTCCCCACATGTACCCCTCAGTCCCACAAACTGGAAAATCCMACATGAAACATTCTTGATACAGAGCAGATCTTGGGGCTGCCAAACAAYGTTTAAGACCACCTGTGAATCAGAAAAAGTGGCTTCAGCCCTTCCCTTCTGGGTTTGGTTGTACTTACCACTTGGTTATTTGGGCTGTGCCTTTGTCCATGGACAGGTTTTGCATTTATTCACCTCCAAGTTCAGAAGTCAGTKCCCAGAAAAATACTGCCACCAAGAAGCCAGTACAGCACACACACAGCTCAATGTGAAGGAAAAAGTATTATTAACGTATTTTGTTATTATTACAGGTGCAGTATAGTTGAATAAGATAGAGGAAAACTARCACTGTAACAGCACTATCCCACAGTCACAGGTTTCAACAAAACTTATCCACAGAGSCAGTATGAATGAGGAAACTGCACTGACTCTCTAGGCTGTTCTTTGGGCAGTTTTAGATATGACCTMACTGGGACAGCAGCAGGAGTTACAATTAGCTGTTACTCTCAGATTATCTGTTCTTCCAAGTGTTCCTCTTACTCCACCAGTCAAACTGCATGAAAACAACACAAATTAGTATTAATMTTACGGGGTAAGATTCATATGAGAGCAGAGGAGGGAACTCCTTCATTCCCTTCAATTCACGTATCCAATCTMGGGGGGAAAGTTAAATATTCAGCTCCCTGGGGCAGCATCTCAGGCTTGTATGATCAATTGCTTGCTCCTGCCCTGGGCGAAGGAAAGTATTGTGGCTAAAAGGGAATTCCCTGTAGCAACAGCTGTTGGCTACCAGCATCATACTGAGAGAGTGCATCAGGTGAACCRGGGCCTCAGTGGAAAGCAGGCACTTTGGAGAATATTATTGAACTATTTCTTCTTATCTACTACTTGACTGATTCAAAAGGGAAGCTAGACTGGGAGTTACAAGCAGAGACTGGGCAAACTGTTCTTCCCCATAGTGCAGGCAAGCAGGGTTGCTCCTGTGGGGAGCCTTTCCCATCAGGCAAACCTCCATYCCAGCAAGGCCATGCAAACACTGGGACTCACTACAGCGACCTGCCACTGCCCCTTTTTCCACAAAAGCACCACAGTCTTTCAGAGAACCTCAGAATCAGCTTTCACCAGTTGTGCACATGGGTCGTTAACTCCTGCTCAAAGCATTTGGGAGACTGGTGGAACAGTGGTGGACAGAAGCAAGTTCTCCCAAATGATTAAAGATTAGTTTTGGGGTTTTTTTTTCCATTTTTACCTAACTCCCATTTCCCCTCCTCTTCTGGCTGAAGTATRCAGGTAGCAGATTTTTCAGATACAATGTTTTATTTGCTGTTTTGGCATGGTATTTATGTTTCCAGCCCAATTCACTGCTAACAAATCCTTATGTGTGCAGGAATAACGGCATAATCAAAGAACAATATTTTTAAGGGTCAGGATGGGGCAGTTTAAAACCAAAGGAGATAATAATCATGGTTCAATGCCTGAAAGCTACGAGATTGACAGAAAAAACACAGAATGCCATTTTCTAGGTTCTTCCTTTTTCATATGCAGACTCCCTATACCAGAAACTTTGCCTAGAGRTTGTTCTTGAAACAAGCAGAGAACACCTGGCAACCCAGGCAAACAAAACAAACCCTCTCACCCTACCCAGGCAAGGTGKGTTTCAGCTCTATTTCCCATGCAGGGCTCTAAAACCTGTTCAAAAATATTTTAATGGCCCTTTGTAACTTCCAACCATAAATGACATTCCTGTAGTGGAGAGGGATGGTAGCAGAAAATTAAAGCATGATGGACAGGTCTGTAAGGCCTTACACTGATTTGCTTTCTGTTGTCAGCTTTACATTTCAGGAAAGCATTTTGATAAGAAACAGTATATAATGGATGATAAAGTATTTTCTGCAAAACCTTAAAGCTTTCCTAGGCAATGTTATGAGTAAAGCACCCAAGTAGAAAGTTGGCTTCTGTGTTCTGGTTCATGGAACTGGGCCATTAGATACAAAATTGTGTAAAATTTSCAGGAACTCTGGGATCTGACAACAGTGAATTTTTTCTCTGCCTGCAGCCCCCTTGTCAGCTCTTCTTGTCTTTCAGCTGAGATTCTAAAGGCTTTAGAGGTGGGTGAATGTTGCCCTTCAGCAGCACTTGAAGGACTGACAATGTTTTCAAGAGACAAAAGCAAATGACACTACCCTGCCAGAGGGAAAAACAAGGTCAATCATGCTATGCAAATCAACTCTCTGCTGGAGAGAAAAATCAAAACAGAGGAACCTGATATCCTCATGGTACAGACAGAACGTGAATAATCAAAACCTRATTCCTGCTTGATTTTATCACCAGAGAGTGTGAAAGAGGAAAATAAATGGGTGTAAAAATACTTACATGAATACAGCAGTGACTTTGGAAACCTCTCAGTGCTTGAAAAATAAACTTGAAGCTATAAAGCCCGAGATTTTCAAACTAACAGGGTATCCCATGCAGAAGGCAGCTGAGAACATCTGAGGAACTGRCATCTAAACAGCTTTCTGCTGCAGTCTGTGTAAGAAGCATTCCAGCTCTGAATACTCCTCCTAACATTTTCTTGGGTTATTTCATTTCAGTTCTTGACAGAAACCAGTACATGAAAGGAAACATTCCAGTGCTGAAAATTCACCTGTAACAGGTCAGGTGAATAGTACTTGCGTATACATAAGTTTTTAATTCATTTATTTAAAGGCTTGGTTGCAACCTACCAACCCTTCTACCAAAACAAGATTCTCTTTAACTATGGAGCAGTACTTTCTGCAGATCTTGCAGAAATTCACACCTCACACATTCAAAAATCCCACTTCAATTCCCTCAGCACAGGAGAATGACAAGAGCAGCAACAGGCACCACCCCAAGCCAGAGGAAGCACTGCATGGCTATAGGGCAGAGGGAAAATTATGTGACCAGAGATGAACATGTGAAACCCACTGGGCTGCCAGAGGAGAACCACACAACTTATTGTAGAAATACCAAATGCCTAAAAATATTCCAAACAATAGCAAATATTTACTCGATGATTCTATTCAATGTCCTAGTTAACTGAGTAATAGCAATTTTGGCATCAGTGCTTATTGAAAGAAAGGACACAATGCTCATTTTCAGTTCAAATTTTACTCCCAATTGCACAAAGGTTGAAAATATATTTTCAGATTTGAAAACCAGCATAATAATTTTGGTTTCATATACAAAACAGGGAAAACCAAAGAATACAGGAGTCGTGACTGTTCCAACATTCAGCATTAAAGTGTTGCCCAACTTCATTTTATCTCATACAATGATTATTTTCTACATTATCTGCTTCTCAAATTAGAACTCTGTACAGTACCCACAGAAACRTAAGGTTAAAATATTTTGAGAAAATACCATGTTATGGAAGGTTCCAATGATCTAKTACAGATTACAGTACAAAGTAATGACAAACCAGAGCATCGCTACAAGTTTATTCAGAAGCTTTTACTTTYGGTTCTTATATCACAAAGGACATGTTTAATGTTTACAACAAGTATTAGAAACTGAGATGTTTTTATTTCTACTATTATAAAAGTAACATAGGAGACCCTTCTAAGCCATCTTCAAAATGCAGACTAATCTTTTTTTTTGTATATAAACTGTACACAAAAAAACAAGGCACTATACATTTTTGGATAATAAAGTATAAAGGTTGATTCGCATAGTTTCTCAAGAAATCCATGCTATAAATACAAAYGCTTTGTTCGGTTTAGCACCTGAAGCAGCACTGAGAACAATTCATTAACTATTGCAAAGAGAAACTTTTCAGAATGCAAAGGAGATACATATTGGTGGTATAGCTAATTCGGTACAAGCAACTGCCATCCAGCTACTTTTCTGTAGTTTTGACATGAAAGTCTTGAAAGTGAATATATATTGCATTGTTAAATACATACTTGTTCTAYGTGTTTATATAAATATAAATTCTTTGTAATCCACAAACTAACAAAATAACACTTTACAAAGAGAACTTCTTTAAAAACAAAAATGGCAAGTAYTGTATATAGCCAAAGGACACCTGCAGCAGTAGATCAAGGAACGACTGTTTAAGTGCATAGGAGAACAGAGCTTAGACACATTATTACCTTTTAGAGTCAAAATTGAATTCCATTTTCAAAGAGTTCTCTTGGCCTTTTACAATATTACACACCTCCAGATAGGTAGTCACTAATAAGTTCAGRTTATTTTTATTTGTTTTGTAAATGTAGGGTACATTTCTTTTAAAGGACATAGAAAGTGAGAGTGGACATCCCTTTAGTGCTCACTCCCATAAAYACAGCTTAGAAAAGTCCTTTTGCCTTCTTCAGGTTAACCTGCTTCCAAGATGGCAGTGCATTGTACTCCTCTCTTGTCATCTCTAATGCAACCTGCATTTAAAAGGTGAGGATGTGCAATTAGCAAAAACAACTGATAGGCGGCATAACCAACAAATTCCTTTCCCGCATGGTTAGACACAGATGCAGAGAGTAACAGTGCACCTCTTCTCTCCTTACCTCAAAGTCCTCATCTGAAAGATAAATTTCAAGCTTCAGTGGATCAACTCCCTCAGGCAGAGGCCTAGCTAAGAGATCTGCTAATGGATACACTGTTTTACACAGCTTRGCCAGCACATCCTCCACAAGTATTATCTGATTAGAAACGTCTGCGTCCTGGAAGGRGAAAAGGAAAACAGAGAACAGGATCACAATGCTGAAACCATCAACTGTGCCCATGGCCATCTGAAGATGGCATGGGGGCAACGTGCCCTGCCTGAACACAAAGCTGTACACCCAGGTGTGCACACAGCCCAACAGCCCTGCCCTACAATTTCACAGCTAAAAACAGGTCTGCACTGAGCAGAACATCCTGGGCTCCCAGAATCTCAGTTTAAGGCTGAAATCTTTATTTAGTCATGAAGCCAGCATTTTCTACTAACAATGGCTGCAGAAGACTTAAAAACCAGAAAATGTCATTTGTGTTGAGACACCCCTTGACTGATAGCTTTTAAAGCAGCCACATGTCATTTGGCTGTGACTCTGCATCCCAGAGGTGAGGAAGTCAGTACCAGGGCACTTGGAGCCAGCTGATCCTTTGAAAGGTGTTTTTCTACCCTGTCCTTTGAATCCGAGGAACAGACCAGACCTGCACATTGCTGCATGATCAAAACRAGCTGTTCTATTAAGCTCAGACTCYAGCACATCGCTTTCTAAGAGACAATTTGGATTGTCTCTTAGATTTCCCCCTGTTTTTAACAAAAAAAAATACAAGAAGTTACATGAAAAAACCAAACAGGAATGCTTCTGATATACACATTGCCAGACAGAATTTAGCTGTGGCAGTGTTTTATTTTCCTGTGCAGATTCCTAAACTGKGCTTTTTAAGTTTATCCTCTGGATCTTAGGGCTGGACAGTGCAAACAACCAATGTCACTGACAACACAAGACAGTTACTAGCAATAGGAAACAGTCTGTGCAATGAAAAGATTTACCATTTCTGTGATCTCTGCGATGTCTTCCCTGTGCTCCCAACTTGGGAACATATTAGTGAATGTCAGAGGCTCTAGGCCAGCATGAATTAAATAGGATTTTGGGGGCTTCTTTACATTTTTTCCTAAAAACAGAAAAAATACAAAAAGAGAGAGAGAAATGACAAATGGCACAATATTTCGCAATGTCACCCAAATATCCAAAGCTACCTCCTAAGAATATTTAATTTTTTTCTGAAAAACTGAAGCAGTTTAAGGCATAAAGAAAAATTTTTCCAGTATTTTTTAAAATTAGTATGGAATCTTCTAACATGTTTTTCAGTATTCTCACATCTGCCATTTATTGTACCTGACTACAAAAATTAAAACATATATGCTGAAAATCCCCAACAGCTATTCCTAACCCAATGCCTTTCTTATCTTTCAAAAACAGACTTAGAATWGAGTAAGCAGAGTGTGATGATCTGAAATTAGCCAAATTCAGGTGAATGAAGCCTTTTGGTATGCTCTGCAGAATGTCCTGCCAGCAACCAATTCAGCTTAAGCTTGGACACTTCAGTGAGAACTTTTAAACTGTTAATTTGTGATTCTGAGGTGTAACACAATAAATGAAGCCTTCCACTGAGAGCTGAGTCAGCAGAGTATCTTGGCAATTTGGGAGCAATGCTGTTCCTAGACAAATGGCTTAAGAAAGGGTGGAGAATGTATCTTCAAATAAAATGATGTTAATTAATAACACCTTTCAGCCCAGGATAGGAAGGCATGGACAGGAGCGACACACTGAGAGCAGCCAGGCACAGCAGTCTGTTACCTTTGCAGTACCGGAGCACCGTCTCCATGGCACATTTCCTGTCTGTAGCCCACCTGATTCGAGCTGATCCAGTGATTTTGTTTTCCACAGGCCACCAGCCTTGCCACAGATACACTTCATGGTGATTGTCAACAAGGAAGAGTGCTACACAGTCAGAAAATAACAAATCCATCATCAGCCACTTACTAGTTCTTGTAATCCCCTAAAAAATCCCAGTCTTACATGCTTGTCAGCATCACAACAGGATCATTTCACAGTTTACCAATCCCTTTTGTTAATCATCCAGCTAGACTTCAGCTGGACTTGGATTCTCTGATATAAACAGTGCATTTTTACAGCAAGCTTCTGGGATACATATACACTTGATTATGTCTCAGCATCTTTGTAATGGAAAAACTATTGTTATTGCTGAATACTGTATAAGCATCAATGCACACATTTTCCTAGGTACATAAAGTTAAAAATGCTTACAATTACTGAAATACTACCCAATGAAGGATACAGTCATCTGTTTTCCTGTTACTTAAGTATTTAAAAACTCATACCTGGCTGTGGGGCAGTGTAAAGATCCTCTTGCAAGAATGGCATGGAATTGACAACTGCAGGGTCTCTTGAAGGGTAAACATACTCAGTGGCTGAGAATTCTCCTGATGAACTACTGAGGCTGAACAGGCGGGGTGTGAAATTAAACTTTCCAGGATCTTTAAAGAACAAAAATTAAGAAGAATCACAACTGMAAATGTCAGAGTTAATTGAAAAAACTAACAAACTTTTAAAGTGACTGTAAAATTTCTGGGTTTTGAAAAAATCAGAAGAGACAACCAGATGTCGTGAGGGACTAGAAACAGCTGTAAGAAGCTGAGCTGAGCGGCTGGCTGCCATCAGTCTGAATCGGATCCTGGTTAGTAACCATCAGCCGTTTCATAACAGGCTGTTTTGCAGCTTAAGCGAAGCAAGCCCATCTCAGAGTTAGCTGACAAATTTTCCACTTGGTAAATCAATTCCCCTGCTACCTTTGTTGGCAGTTTCAAAGCAAAGGCTGGATGGGAATGTGYGCAGAACTGCCTCTTAAATCCCTTCAGAAGAGAAGCAAAATATATTGGTAACAGTGTTRACTATTGCTCTGTGCTGCCTGAATACAGAGGGGCAGCAGAAGCGGGGGAGAACAAAATTAAACACTCGGTTTTCCAGCACTTTCCTTCTATAACAGTATTGCTTACCTCAGTAAGATTTTTGGAAACATTTCTCTGAAGGGATCAACTCAACTACCAAAAAATTCCTCAAAAACTTTACATTAAATCTAACAACACGTAGACCAGTAAAGTAAAATGCGAGTGCCAAATCCAGGAAGGCAGGTGTACCTTGCAACATGCAGTCATAGGCCTTCCGATCTCTCCTCCCCAATGCGTCCCAGAATCCCAGGGGCTCTGACCCTTCATCACATTCATGAATTGTCACCTTGCTGCTGCTGTGCAGCCCTGCCTCCAGCGGACACCTACAAAACACAGAGAGAGAGTGAACTCGGCGTGCCTGCCCCAAACACAGCCAACACAAACCTGCTGGCCACTCACATTAGCGGAACCCAAAMGTACCCTATAGGCTTGTTGCACTTCACATCAACACAGGCACTTTGAAAAATTGTCAGAAACAAGAGAGGGAATTTCAACAGCTATTCTCGAAGCATTTGGATCCCATTCCCAGAGTGAAGGGAGCTCTCAGTAGGATTCTCACTGCCTGCTTTTGTAACTGCTACTGTCCTCCTWACATGCTTTCCCAAATTAATATCCTCTTCCAAATTCACAAAGCTGGATTCTAATCCTCCCATTAAATTTGCTATTCAATTTAATTTGCTATTCAGATACTTAGCATTTCACTCCAAATGGAAAGTGACTCGTTTGTTTTCAACTGTAATTAGCACATTAGGAAGAATGTGGATGTCTCATCCCTGGAAGGGTTCAAGGCCAGGCTGGCGATTTGAACAACCTGGCCTAGAGGAAGGTATCTCTGCCCTTGGCAGGGGTTTTGGAGTTCGATGATCTTTAAGGTCCCTCCCAATACAAACCATTATATGGGTCTGTAAATAAATGCATTTCACCTCCAGAACATGAGTTCTCTCCACTCTACTAAACCAACCAACTTTCATTCCTCCTCCTGACCAAACATGCATGTGGTGCATTTGTACTCAGGRGACAACTTTATTTATCTCAAATTTTCCTTGAGTCAGACTATTTTAAGTAAATTGGTAGACTATATAAACATCTCCAAAATATAAGTCAGACACTCACTGTTCTTTTATTTTATTGGCTGCTGTTCTTCCTACATCCTTGGTGTGAGACTGTGCTTTGCAGCCATGCCACAGGTAGATCAGAGCTTTGTTGATATTGAGGACAATCATGGATGTCCGGGAACGCAAGCTGCTGCAGTGACACGCTACCTCAAGTAAGTTTCCTTCATTGGGAACTTCTCCTCGCACACAATAAAGCCTCCAATCACCTGGAGCAGACAGGAACAGTGCAGCAGTGTTATAAAATCATATGGCACTGAAAATTGAAAACCTCTGCTCTGGAACAGCTGTTCTCATACTGGATGAATTCCATCTACTGCATGCTTACATTGTCACAGAATAAACTATCTAAGCACCAGGTTTGGCYAACACTACTTGAGAAACCCTGTGCAGAAAAGATTGCTTGCTACAAGAGTACAAGTATTGAGAGCTGAAGAGCTTAACAGAGCAGAAGAGTCAAGTTCTGCTGCTTTGTGTGGTGAAAAAAGGGAAACAAACACAGTATTCCTCCTATTCAGCTCCTCTTTCCCTCTGCACCTTAGGAACATAAGGTCACAGTCAAGTGAAAACTGGAACATCTCCAAGCTACACTTCCACTGAAATTCTCCTATCTCAACTACTGCTTTCAAGGAGTATGTTACAAAAAGCAATGATTGGGTAATAAAAGCTTAGAGTTTTCTTTGGAGCAGAAGAACTGCTCATAAAAACACTTTTCTTCCCCACATTGTGTAGAAAAGAACATAGTTTAAACCAAACTAAAACAATTTATATGTGCATTAATACAATCAAGCCAGCATGCTCTAGGGTGGCAAAATCCATTCTACGCTCAAAGAGGAAAAAGACTACCTTGAAACAAAGCATTGCAAAGCTGTCTCGAGTTTCACGGCATTCATTTTTCCTTTCTATACAGTATGGTAGTTGAGATTGAATACAAAGCCCTCCACAACAGCTAAAAAAGCATTTTGGGGCAGAAACTCTTAACTACCAATCATTTACTTTGTGCATTTTCTTCTTCCTCTTCCCTTCTTCCAGCATGCACAATCATCCCTCCTTGGAAACACTGCAAGAAGCATGGTGGTTCTTTCCCTTGAAGCACTTGTACCTGGAAATTGAAACCACCACTCTTCGTTAAAAAAAATGAAGCAAGTATACAGACTCAGGAAAACTGGTCTCTACGGATTATTAAAAATTATATAGTTATGGCCACCCACGAAGATGGCTTTCCTTCTACTTTACAACTGCTGAGTATTGTTTAAATTATCATATATCAGCATGCAATGGGTTCCATATGTGACCTGCATATTAAAAGAAACCTCTAGCTGGAACCCAACAGTTGAGTTCCAGAGGATAATGGAATACCAAATGAACTTTAATTTRAATTGGTTTAAACTAACCATTTTCTGAATTTTATGAATTTTTACAGAACCTGACCAGCCTGACTGATGTTCACTGAAACCATTATGGAGATAACATAGGAATGGCAGTAAGTTCAAAATTTGCTGAAAAACTGGTTTCTATKATAACATACATGTTCTTTGCTCACTAAGCATTGCATTTGGAGTATGAAACTGAAATGGCTAATTCCTAAATCAAGTATGTTGTAGAGACTCTCACACTCTTGATCAAGGGCCCTTATATTTCTCCTCTATGAACTCCTGTCTTGCTGGTCATTTCAATGCTGCTGTYAAAAAACTAATTAAAGCACGATCAAGGTACAGAAACTAACTTTAAATTTCCCACCTTGTATGCTGTGAGGCCACAGCAAAGCCCAAGTCTGCCTAAAGACAAAGCAAACTAGCCTGTCCTCTCAGCTTCAAACTAGCTGCATCTGCATTGGCTAGGATGCCTGCAAACAATGCAATTAATATGTAATTACAGAGTAAACGAACTGAAAATTGCAAATATATTTTTTTGCCTTGGCCTGCAGAAAGTGCTTCTCCTCAGCACTAGGAAGACAGTCCTGCTATCTGAACATGTTCTCGATCAGAAGGCATGAATCTGTGGAACTGTCTCACCTATTCCTGCAGCGAAGGGAGGTAAGACCTCCTTCAGCCTTTTTCAGAAATATCCTTAGAAACAGGATTTGGGAATAACAATCCATAAAGGAGCTTACGTGTCTCTGGCAATTGGAATAATGTCAAAAGTAATTCTGAGGTCTGACTATTTGTAATGGCAAGAACGTKTGTACAGAAAGGGAGGAGGCAAAAAAGATAATTTCTGTTTACCACTGGTGGCAAGCCAGGCAGGCAAATCTTACCAGGTCTGCCACCTAGGAAGCTCACCTGTGCTCCTCTCTCTTCATCAAGCTCCACTGTCATGAGTGCTGATGTTCCTTTCTCACTCACTGTGGAGTGCCTTCCTTGCCAAAAGAAATACACACATTTCTCTTTTCCAACAGCCCGTACTTGTTGCTCTCCTTTTTGTCTGCTTCCAACTGCGAAACAGAGAGCACATGCTGAAGAAAGTACTCTGGCTATAGGTTTAAACAGCACATAGTTTAACCTCATCTGCCAGCTCAGCACTATCCTATCCAGAACAGGAAGGAAAAAATGTGCAATTGGAGGAACATTTGCTCTCCAAGCCAGTGCGTCCCCGTGCAGAGTTGGCATTGTCTCCTCAGGTGGATGTAAGCCCACAGGCAGAGATGACTGTGCTGGCTGGAGAAAGAGGCATAGAAAGAACTGGTACTATCTGGAGAAAAATAACTGACAGCACTTGAGCCAATTTGCATGTGAAATGGCATGTCCAGTTTTGTTACCAGAAGAGTGCATTGTGGCTCATTTTCCACATTACTGTTCTCTGGCAGCAGGAGAGCAGCTGCCTTTTTTTTTTTATTTATTTATTTTTTTAAAGAATCGGTATTTAGTTGTTATGTTAAGCAAATAATGTTTACAGCAAGTGAAATTCAACAACATAACCAGTTACAGACTATTTCACTCTTTCCAGCAAATAGAGAATAAACAGGTATAATTAAATCAAAGATTTAAAAAAAACCCCAGAGTTTTCAAACAGATTTTAAAAAAAAAATAAAATGTTCTGCCTAGATTCCAGCTGTCTTGAGCAGCAACCAACTGAAACACTTAGGAGAAAGCATCCTGTTTTTTTCAAGTTGAGAATACTCAAACCACTACTCACTTCTAAAATTTATGGTTTTCATTCTTATCTCTACATTCATCCCATAAAAGTACTGTCTTCTACATAAAAATTTATTCTGTTTTGGAGTGATGGAATATGTTTTCATCCATTTGGATTAGAAGTCTGTTTACAGTTCAGTACTAGTGTTACCCACTTCTCCTAAGACTTACAAGCTTTTTTATTTTTCTTGGATTTGCCAGTATCTGATCTCAATGATCCTGACTAAGACTTACCTACACTTTTTTGGCTAAAAGCCTGAAGCTGTATAACTGTTACGCTGTTTTCAACCGATTTTAATAYACTGCTATTTGGAACAATCCGTTTTAGACTATTTGTCTTTAACTTACCACAAAAGCCACCTATTCTTAGTTTAGTGCCAGAAGGGAGAGTTCCAGTGGAATTATGAAGCTGGTTGTCAGACTTTACCTGCTGCTCTCAGGCTCTTTGTCAGAACACTGCTGAGCCTGAAATCCACATCAAAGGGTTTCCAGCAACAGCGGAGGGGACAGCAAGGGCAATGAGTTGGCAAGGGCTTTTCCTGTCATTGTTACTGATCTCCATTACCCAGCAAAYGTTTTTCTTGTTGCTAAGCCTACCTCTCTTGCAAGACATTCAGACCACTGCCATCAATTCAGCTGCCTAATTACTTTGGTGTTAAGCTGTGGGCATAATTCTGTCTTAATGAATTGTCCTGTGAACATGTACCAATGCTGGTACATCATTACATTAATCGACATCATTACATTTGGTGCATCAAAAGTAACTACAACCTTTTTATTTTCTACTACTTTTAAACAAAGTAAGAATTTGTTATTCTAATAACTAAGTAAGAATAATTAAAAATKACTTTTTAATGACCCAGGAAGGCTAAATTAGCATCCCTAACCTTTCAAACCATCTCATATCCATGGAAAACTAGGTCTGGTCCTCAGCACTAAGAGTAGGAGTTTTAGCTGCACTTCTGCCATGTTTCAGCAGAATTAAAATGGAATTGTTCACTAACCTGTAGTGCTCACCATGTACTTCCACTTCACCACGTAAGTGTCTCCCTCATGGAACTGCCCTATGCTTTGCTTAGGCAGTCGACTATAATCGAATTCCAGGATGTGCCAGACATCCACAGAGGCAGTGATAATTTCAAACTGCCTCCCATCTTCTCCCTCCACAAGTCCATAGCCCCGGCCAATATTCATTCCATCCAAGACTGTGCCTACAGTTGTTTGAGGCACAGCAACCATGAGCATGACATCATATGGTTTAGAGTCAGATCTGGATTCTTCCTGTCAGAAAACACAGAGAAGAGATTTCTTTGAGCATAGCTTTTTGTCTTCCTGTCCCACAGTTGCAGTCAAACATTCTGACTCCTGCATATTTCAATACTTGAGTATCTTGTCATCATTTGGTGCCTTGTCAAAGCCACCTGGTCAGTGTTCATTGAGCTGCCTGGCTCATAGATAAATAATAATAGTAATACATAATATACAATATATTAATACATAATTTATAAATAATACACACAAATGTATTTATAATCATATAATCATATAATACCAAAATAATGATAATATAAAACAACCCTGTGGGTTTGCTGTAGGAGGTGATGCTCTGATCCCTAGATCAAAGCCCACAAGATAAAGAAAATGCTCTGATCCTTGAGCACAAGCTTCCCTGGATGTTATCCCAACTAGATCATCTAGTTTGAAATACCTAGCATGCTTATTATATGCACCTTCTGGTGAAGGGATTCACTAGAATTCTTCTCATTGAGTTTCTTCAGTTCTGTCCAATCAAGAAATTTTTCTTTGAACAATATTGTCTCATTATGTTCTGTGAGTCTGCCAAATACAGCCCAGTCTGGGCGTCCTTGTCCCTTTCTGTGCAAGGGAACAAAAGATATAGAATCAAATTAAACACTGTGAAAAGAGAGCAAGAAAAATAAGTATCTGCAATGAGACTAAATTCAAGTTACGATACCTGGGTATAAGGGGATTGCATTCTCCTGGGTCCAGAGGATTTATATCACAATTGGAGTAGTCAAAGGTGCCATTCCACAAGTGTTTTGCCAGCTGGAATGCCACTTTTCTTTGTGCTAAAGTGACTTCCTTTCCATGCCATACATATACTTCACTACCAAAATCAAACACCAGCACCTAAAAYCAAAACCAAACAACAAAAAAAATCAAGCCACTATCAAGTTAGGTGATACCCCGATCCTCCAGTTTCCTTGTGCTAAACAGAAACCCCTCCAAATATCTGCRTTTCTTCAATGGCACTAACAAGTAGCACTACAATGCAAGTAAGGACAGAGCACTGGTCTGCACTGTGATGTGTAATTGTTGAGGATGACTGGAAGCAAGTATGGGGAATGCTGTGAGATGTATCTTTAGGTGGCTAAAAGCACTAGCAGATTAGAGGGCTCTTATAGCTAAAAATCTGCTTCTGTTGCATGACTGATTGCTGTCCAGTTTCAGTAGCTTTCTCTGACATTTAGCCCTAGGCTTTGTCCCGCAGTCAGGGACAAGAACACACAACAAAGACAAAAAGGCAGTGACTTCAATACTTTCAATAAAATACATCTTGTCTTCATTTTAGAAACCTGCTCTCATTCTGACTTAGATGAGTGAAATGGTTGTTTGAGGAGGAAAAGTCTGCTAGGAATAGAAATAAAAGCAAGTTTTACTTTTGTTTTATTTTTCTGAAGCACTACTTGTTTTGTACTTCATGATTCCAGAGTATGACACTGTTGACAAAAAGATTTACAGTTTCTAAAATGGTATTTTTACTTTAAAAGTAATGTGAACTAATTTCTTGAGACCTACAGCACACTCTAGACAGCAAAGTGTGCAGAAGCCTTTCAGGAACACAGAGGACSCAGCTTTCAGCAATCCTCTCCACAAGCATTTGCAGTAACTGAAAGTCATTATCAGTTGCRTGTTCCTGCACTTCCGAAGGAGCAGTAAGTGGCACTATACCTCTTTTGGTTGTAACAGGGTACATTTTGGCACCTTTCCCCAGTAGTCATCCTCRGGAATGAGTTTATCTTCTACAAGGCGGTAAATGCAATTTGTTTCTATTATTGCGGCTTCATACATTTCGTCTTCTTCAGGACTTCCAGCAGCTKAAGGAAAAGATTGTCAAAAATAATAGAAAAATTAACATCCAACTGTCTTTACTAAAGAGAACTGATTTACTATTTTATTGTGATAGAGTAACAGATATTGCAGCTGTAACAATGCTTACACTGGTAATTTGACTGTCCACCAAGGAGTTTCCAGAAGTCTTTGGCTGCGTGGGTGTGGGTATTTATTCCTTCTTCTATGGTCTGAATATAAGAAGCTCTACAGCCAAGTTCCCTCTTTGTCTGAATTAAAGTTGCAAGTTCTGAAGCCTAAGAAATTAACAGTTATCTGAACAGGATTGCTTAAGTCTTTGGAATACTTGTGCAAYATTCTAGTTCAGGGAGAAGGCAAATGCGATATAATACAGCAAAAAGCAGAAGAAATGGTTATTATTTATTGCACTAAATAAACAGACATTAGAAAAAAATGTTACAGAAATGCATTCATTCTTTCATTTGCCTTAAAGCAAWGCTGGTCTCAGTGGACATGGGAATAAAAAGGACATCCTGCAATTCAGACTATTTTTTTTTGAGTCTACTCTGTATCCTGAGGATATCCTTTTTTCTCTAGCAGCTTCACACACTACACACTCCTATGTCAGCTTTCATTCAGTGCATAACTTAAAACATATTTTCAGGAATCTTGCATATCTCYCTGTCACAGACTCAGTTATATGCCATTTTTTGAGAGAACTGGCACCAAGGCTCAGTTTCATCAGAGACATATACTGCAACGGTTCTAAAAAGAAACAAGATGAAACCCCCCAATAGTACTGACCTTTGCTTTTTCTATGACATTTGCAAACTCTCCCACCCACAAGAAACATAAATGTGGAGTYAACAACAGGAAACAGTCTCCACTGTTCAGTGATGAGGCTCTTGGTTCAACTAATCTTGTTTGAACATGTCTTCTTCCTAGAGAGAAAACAAAGCTAATTATGTTCCTTCAACTACTACTATCAAATGCCACGATCTAATTTGTTTTGAACAAAATACAAACAATCCCAGCACATTTAGCAAAATATGTGGAAACAGACTGTTTGAGAAAAATTAAAGGACTACTACTGTGGAAAAAGAGATTACTCACAGGAAACAAAATACATGTTGACTCCTATCAACTAATATTTGTATTATTTCCTGTTCTTGYTTTAACAACTCTGTGTCCTTCTAGAAAGAAATGAATTAAGTAAATGGCAGACAGCAGCAAAATTCCAGAACCTTTTACATTTGGCTAAGTGAAGTTACGGCACGATTTCTGTASGCAGTAAAAAGTTTAAATAATGTAGAAATTTTAAGAATTTTGCTTTCCAAAACCTTGSTATTTGGAGAATCAGATATGTTACTACGCACTGCAAAGGGAAGTGGAGCAAGAACACTGTCACGTCATTTTCAAGTTATACTGAGGACTGGAAGAATGGGACAGTTAAAAAATTTTTATAGGACATGRCCAGAATTTCTGAAAAACTCTGTTTTCTCCTTGGGAAACACACACCAGTGGCCCAGTGCAAACCTATTTGTAAGGTTTAACTCTCRTTACACAATTATCACTAATGTTTTTGGATTTTGGACACAGATCTTGATCTGAAGATCTAGAACAAGCTAAGTATCTAAATGTGTTARCAACTCCCATATGTTACATTCAGCCTCTTATTTATAGAAAGGAAAAGCAATTCCAGCATACCTTTAATTTGCAGGAGCATTAGCTTCTTGTATGGCACAGCACTGTTGTTAGAGTTTTGCTCTGTTAGATTAACACTCCTCAGGCTAATGTTGCTGAAGTTCTCTTTGCTTGCCAGGCCAGCAAGTGCTACCTCTGAGAAATTTGAGTTTGTAGACACTTGTACATAAAAAGAAGTTGGAGGAAAGACAGACAGACCCAAAAATTACAAAATTATTTAAAAAAATTGGTTGTTGCAATAAGAAAATTATTTCTGCCCATTATTTCCAGTTTTTCCTCTTTTCCATAGAAACAGCAAAGCCAGGTTGAACTCAGATTAACCACTAGCCCAAAAGATTTGTGGCTTTAGGATTACCTAAATTTCTAGATAACATCTAAGAGTAAACTGTCAGTGTCAGAATTATGCTATTTGGCAGAAATGCCAACTTTACTAGGAAATGCCTTACTCAATGTTTTGTGAAGTACTGTGTAGATCTTCAATGCCTTATAAGTCATTAATAATAAAAGACAGCACAGAGACAAGGCTAATTAACTGTAATTCCCTTAAAATTTGTCTGAGACAGTGTGATGCAACACCCATTTACATTTTRAAGTCTTAGTCATGTTTTACTGTAAACGTACAGCCCAAATTCTTGGCTACTTTTGTTTATTGCTCAACCAAACAGTTGACTTTATGAATTTATAACTCATCCACTTTATGAACTTATAACTCAGTGAAATCCTTCTCATGAGATGGCAACAAAGTATTACACATATAATTAGTGTTTTCATCAAGACAGTCAATATTTAATGATGAACTTTCTTTCTTCAAATGTAATAAGGAAAACTTGTACCCCCAAACTGTAAAAGTACCTCGACAAACCTTTGAATAAATTTTACAGTTATGTTGTTAGGAGAAAGCAATGTCACAAGTAAAACACCTTGTATAAACCATGCCACAAAGCACTGATCCTTTATGGAACTGAATCGTTAGGACGCAAGAAGGCTAATTCCAGTATCTGAGAGAAAATTAGGATCCAAAATTGAGGCCAGTGTACCTGAACAAAAGTTCATCTATTCTTGCCAGCTCTCACCCCAGCATGACAAAGTTRGATCTGCTTTCCTTGATCTCCTGTCCTCACCCTGCACACCCCACAGGCATTGTTTCTCTGCACAAGGTGACTGTGCAAAAAATAAATAATTAAGCCTATRTACAGGTGATGGCTTTCCCTGTAAGCCATACATGCCCTTCTCTCCAGGCTCCCARACAGTCTACATTCCATCTTTTACCTCAATCCATTTATTACCACTCAGAGAATATGTTCCATTCCTTCACTTGCAGTTTTTGCATTAGGATTTTTTTTGTTTTTAATTAAAAAGGCAAGAATGGCATCTTGTACAAGTCATCCTGCCAGCTTACTTTTTTCTACTTTCATTCGCTTTGACTCCATGAAGGCAACATTCAGTCTTTGTTCAGTGTATTCATGAAGAATATCTTGCCTTGCTGCCAGCATTTTCAGGGGGTTTCTCGAGGACTGGACTCTGCGCGTGGGCCTAACTGCACGTTTGTGCTCTGCTACAGAAGATGTCAACCTGAAAAACAAGCAGTGTTTGTAACCATCAGTGAGCTTTTCTAGTCAGAATCATCTAATGACAAGAAATCAGGATCAGCTCCTCAATTCAAGCAGGAGCATGATTTCAAAAATCTGCAGAAGAAATGGACGTGCCCAGTACTAAGACACCTACAAGATGACTTAGAGTTAACATTTTGAACACTGCCTTTGTGTCTGCACTCAAAACAATGGGGGAAAAGTAATTCTTACTTTGGTGCATAAGGATCAAAGATGGCATCGAAATCCTCATCAAGGTCCAAAGGCACTGAGGAYGAAGGGAAATCCACATGGCGATAAAATTTGGAAAACGTTTCATCATCATCCAGCTTCATCACTTCTTTCACAGATCTTCCTGTAACTGTCAGCAYTGTCTCTTGCATCCCAGCAACTGCAGGAAAAAAACACCTCACCYAGTAAATAACCAGAATTTCTAACTCTAGAAAAGGTAAACATGACTTGTTTGGTAGTTGTCTGGGTAATTTTTTTTTGGGGTGGTGGTGATATTTTGGTTTTTGGGGCTTTTTTGTGTTGATTTTTTTTAATAGATGGTAGAAAAGTGGGTCAATAAAGAATATTAAAACAGTGCAACTGCTATGCATATGCAATAATCATTATGCAAAATGGTTTGGGAAGTATGGCTAAATGAAAACTTAGACACTATAAATGAGTTGTTCTAGTATGWTTATATAAGCATTTTAGGGTCTTGTGTATTCCACCTTGGGTCCAACTATGGAATTTCTTCTTTTGAAAGGATTTAGATTCACAAGGGGAAAAGTCTCACTTCAGACTAGTGAGAGTCTCATGGTCATTATCCTATGTTAGTGCCTCCTGTGCTGAAATGGGAATACATTTTTTATGGTATCTGATACACTACAAATTACATAAGGAGTTCTGTCTTACAAATGGAGGACAGACATATGAGACAGAAACTCTGCAGAGCTTCATAAATAGCCAACAGGCTGTACAAGGGAGTTGCTACAGAATYAGTTTTCAAAAAAGCAGGAAAGTGAATGAATTGTGCTTGGGAGCAGCTTAGCAGCTTATCCTATTTTGATTTTAATAGGAGTAAACTACATTTAAAGCGGTTTCACTGAATATGGCAATATGGTTCAGACTGGCTGTATGCTYTTAAGAAATTTTGCCCTCCAGAAGGATGTGTACATTGTTTTTAGAGAACTAAGAAAGTTATTTTGGCATCTATGATTTATTCTACYGTACATTTGTAATACAATAGCAAAAGGCTTTTCTTCTTAAAATTTAGCCAAGACTAAATCACCAAAATAAAGCCATCAGTGAATGCAGTCTGAGTAAAGAAATATTCAGTTTCTGATACCAGATATTGTAACTAAGAGGTGCTTTAATCAATTTACTGAAGTAGAAGAGTGGATACACTGGTAACTCTACMAACCTTTGTTATTCAGCCTTCCCAAGAACGACTCCAACTTGTCAAGCTTCATATCTGATTCCAATTGCATATCAGGCCTGGCTTCAATTTCTAAGCAAACCAGAAAGTARAACCCATTAATTGACAAGAAGTAAATAAGCCTGAACATATTTCAGCCATTTTTATTCCTTACCTTCCAAGGGCTTTGTAACTGGAGCGTTTGACTTCTGCCGGAAAGGGGATGCTACTGGAGTCAGAGCACTTGGAGCAGCCAGGCCTGCACAGGGACACAGAACAGAGGAAATGCAGCCATGAGACACCCTGAGTTTCCAACAGTGATGACAGGGAAGCTGTTTGGGGAAAGCAGATGAGCCTGGCTACTTCATACAGGCCGGCACACCTCCCCAAGCATCGTGTTGGAGGTGGCAGAGTGCCCTGCCTGCTCCTTTAATCAACAGCACCCTCTGAAACCACCCCGGCCACAAGAACAAAGCTCCATTTCCAAGTGTTACTAAGCAAGCTAACATAAGATAAAGGCTTTCTCTGGAACACAGTAATTCTGCTCATTTTCAAAATAGCARCAGCTCACATGGTCTACATTTTGGGCTTCAACTGTACCTGAAGCTGAATTTGAAAAACATAGAAGCGGTCTGAACAAAAAGATAAAGTTAGCAGGGAAGCCACCAAGGTCTTGCTTGGCACCTTCATCCCCATCACCATCCATCATCTTTTTTAAATTTAAGCACAGCTCTATTAAGACACACAACAGAATGCATCTGACTTGTGAATGCTGTCCCTGGATTTTGCAGTAATTCTTGAGCCCTGCTGAGTTTTTCAGAACACATGAAAATTGAAGAACAAATGGCAGTCCCCACCATATCAAGCACTACTCCCTCCTTTTCTTCTACCCTCCTCCATCCTTTTCATTAACTGTCATAAAGCAATTAATTCTGGACCCAGTGGATAAAATAAAGATGTTTTTTGTTTAGTTCTTTTCATGTGAATCTACACAGCTCTAGTAAGAGAAATGCACTCAATAGGAGTCGTGGGTTGTATCAGGTAAAAGGTAGGTGGGTTCTATTATGAAAAGCGTACTGAAGTGAAGAATGCACCTATTAACTTTTGTTGCCTAGACTTTCAGTAAATGGGGAAACAGACATTTACACTTTTCCCTATTATCTGTTYTCCACTTAGCCATAGTTTACTAATTACTGATCCATGTAAGTTTAAGSCTTCAGTTATTTTGATCAGATTAAAGCTGTATTGTGCTGGGAGAACATATACTAACCATGCTTCCACTATCTTTACTGCAACATAATTGTCATAATTGTCAAACACCAAGACAGATTTGGAATATAACTAGGTAGCTTTTCCACAAACAATTTTTCCTTCTGTCACTTAAGAGACTCAAAATTCCAGCAGGTTTTAAGTCAATGGGTAAAGCCTTCTTCAAGACACACTCAAGAGGACACAGCTCTTAAGAAGCTCTACCAGGACATAATCCACAAGACCACACTGAGAACTGCTTAGGAAAGGATTACCTTCCAATTAGGACTGAAAAATTTTCAGCCATAAGATGCAATTAAAATACAGCATCTGTGYGTATAGCAAAAATATTATTTTGCATTGCTTTCTCATAATCTTTTTAATTAAAAACTCATCATGATAATTTATTCTTTCAGGGTATAAAACCAGTACACATATAACTAAAATCCCACTTGGGCTACTTTTATTRCTTTTACTGTAATTGCATTACCTTGCTTCTTCAAAAGAATGATCATAGCACCTAAAGAGATCCTGAAAAGTTTTTTTCATTAAAAAGAGTAAATGCTACCACCTTCTTTTCCTTTCCAAAGATCAATCTATTCATAAATAAAACAAAACACAAAGACTCGAAAAGGACATCTGTGGAAAACTAAACAGTTTTTCTTGGTGACCCTCCAAAATAGGTTCCTCTTTAAATAGTGGCTGCTGGTATTTCTAGCAGCAAAACAATGAAAAATGTAAGCAGCAGTTAAAATATGTTACTAATAGATGTATATCCTTACACCATTTATCTGTTCACCAGCCAACAGACTGGCTTGGACTACAAACAATTATTACTCTGTTGGCAACATTGCCCTCACCCTCCAATGATGTGTTTTTAATGGTTGTCATTTAACTCAAGGTTCACTGCTGTTGTGTTTAATAGCCAAGTTCTTGTAACAAGCCAAAATCCAGTATTCATCAAGCACAAGAGATCAGTTTAGGTGCCTTCTTCCCAAAGTTATCATCTTCCCAGGCATGCTGCATGAMCAGCTGCACTTCTACCATGGACAGCCTTCAGAGACTCCTGTCCACTTCAGAGGAATGATTAGATATGGAGACAGTGGCTGAATTCAAGAGATCCCAAAAAAGTCAGCATTGCTCCCTTGTCATTTCTACTCTGTAGTTCTATGCAGAACCAGGGAATCTTCAGCCAAACATAACACTTCAAGCTGTTGTCCAAGACAGCATCCATAAAACCAATACTTGTTTGCTAAGTATTCCCAGTGATCCTAGGAGTGGGGGAAATGCCAGCAACAGAAACGACATTTCACAACTATTCTCTAGACAGTGCAGCTGCATTTGTAAAGGAAGAATAAMTAAGAAAGAATAATTCAACTATGCCCTGTGGGTTGTAGTAGAAGGAAAAACAAAACATACATCCCTGTTCAAGTGATAGATTTCCACCAGTCAGAGCCCAGTAATAAGTGGATGGCAATGCAACAGTGCAGAACAAAATGGATCAATACCATGCCCACAAGAAACTAAAGAGAACGGCCTCATGACATGATATTCAGCTGGAGATAAACAGTCCTCCTCTCGCTWAATACAGATGCTGTTTCTGCATAACTTTAGTTTGACTTTATTTTGACTAGACACATAAGAGGTGTCTTATTTATATTGGGACCATTTAGTCACTGACCTTTTTTTACCATTCGTCCAGCTACAGTGAACTGTGTGGAGTCATTGGCTGCTCCTTTACCCTTGGATTTCCAGGCTTCTTCTCGAGCTGTAATCAGATGTTTCCTCTCCTCAATGGTCATTTGACTCTCCTGGTTATCTGCCATTCTTTGCTTTTTTGAGGAAAAAGAGAAAGAGATGCTTAAAAAAAATTGCTTAAAAAAAGGACACAACTAAAGACTGGCTGAACATTTCAAGTGCCAGATGCAGAGGGAGGGGAGCAGGAGAACAAGCTACTGAAGTCACAGACACAGCTTAGTGACCCTGAGATGCTTCACTGTCTTGCTGCCCCATTACACTGTGAGTACAAGGTTTTGGTCTGTGCTCCTATCAGCCAGGGCAGATGGCACCCCCCTACCCAAAGCAAACCATTCACTCGGCACATGACACCATTTTCTGAACCTTGCTTTTCTGAAGTGTGACTTGCTACACAAGTGAGATCACTATTGACTATGAACAGATGTTTTCAAGTGTGCAAATCTGYAGGTGGCACAGGGAACAACAATGAAATGGTACAACTTCAGTGGGTGATTCCTTATCAGACTGTTACCGTAACTCAGTTCTGCAGGCAGGACTAGCAGCCTCTCCAGAGGCTGCTCCCTTTAGTTCTTAAGTCAGCTTGCTCTATTGAGTATTTTTCCAATGACTGTGATCAYCTCTACCACTCCCCCCGCATTTTTTTTCCCCTAAGTCACCTTCAGCTTTCCTTTCTTGCTTTAGAGGTTGGCAGCCAACAGCTGGAAAGATTAGATGCAGAAGGTGCACTGTCTTAGTGCCCTCCTCACACAGAAAGATTGATGTTGTTACATTAAGTAGGAAAGAAACTGAATTTACATACTCTGCTGTAGCTAGGTCAGGCCAAAGGACTATTGCTTTGATATACTTATCTTTAAAAAGCATCAGCCTTTCAGGGATTATACTGCACAGAAATCAAACATAAAAGTATTTTTAATGCATGGGACTGTCAGCACTAGAATTCCAAGCTGCATGCTTTTCATCATTTTTGTTCACAACCTAGCTGCTACAATTGAAGAAACAATGAAAATCTCAAGCTATAACACAGCTCTAGCTCATAGAACCACAGTGGGGAAATGCAAAAGTATGCAAAAGTTTGTGAATATAAATATTGTACTCCTTTCCAGCTACAAGGAAGATATTCTTATCTTTTATTTTCTTAAAAACCAAAGAGACCAAATAAATAGTTCATTTTATATAAAAACTACTGTGACTGCAGGGGACACACTAACTGAAAGGCTTCATACTTTTCAGCATTTACCAGGACCAGTAGACATCAGCAAGAAGAGTGAAGATAAACCAAGAAATGTTTGTACGAGGACTAGAATCATGAGAGCCCACCACTCCTCCCCATGTATCTCTGCAACCTTCTGCAATAACACTTCCTCTCAATTTATCAGGAAAGAGGGCTGGACAGCCAGACAGTATGACTGAAAGCCATGATAATCAAGATTAAAAACTCTGATTTTTTCCCTAAAACTCAGAAATGTTCAATAGAAATAACAACATGCAAGTCTATTCAGTATCATTTCCTCATCTGTCAAAGCCTCTGAATGTTTTCAAGAAAACACTGAAGAATTCCCTTTAATTTCTTCCAGTGTCAGCACAGCCATCTCTAGGATGAAAAGTTGGTAGAAAAAACCACAACAATAAATTAAAGGAGACCTGGGCAGGAAATTAATTAATACCTAATGAAACCATAACTAAATTTCATACACAAAATAAACATTTCTAACTTAGTAAGGATACTGACTTCCATTAAACTATGAGGGGAATGAGGGAGAGGCAGAAGGAAGTAGAATCATATGAATTTGGTTTTGGGTTTTTAAACTTACAGGGGGCTTAATTTTGGATTTTGTCTCCAGCAAATACCTGAACCTTCAGAGTCTAYAGAGCTAATGAAAACTCTGAAGATGCAGACCTGGAAACTATGTGTGTTAATCACTAACCATGCAAATTGCAAGAAAGATGGTCAGTAATTCTGGAACTGTGTCAAAGGATAAAAGAAAACAGCYGTCTGACAGAGAAACAAACTTGCTTTATTTTTTTATAATGGAAGATTTCAAGCTGTTTCATTGGACAAATCATCATTGGAATTCCTAACCAAAAAGAAAATAATCAAATTGGGTGCATATGTTACACAATTTGGAGTAATTCCATATTAGATCTTGTCCTAATGCATGAAGACTCCTACTTAATCTATTAATGAACAAATGAACTAAAAAATTATAAACTGAACACATACCAAGCAATTTCCAAACAATTTAATGTCCCTTAATAGTCTTGCTGAAAACCAGAAGTATATGCCATGATTAAATAAAGAATCATTTCCTACAGCTAGAAAGCTAACATGAGCCAGTGAAACTGTCAAAAGAAATTTCAGAAAAAATCCACCTGCTGGTTGGGAACAGATTAGAAAGTGTTTGGAATTGCCACATGGAGTATTTGTGGAGGAATTAATTAATCAAAGAACATTCTAGTTGGGAGAAAATGTCAAGAAAGTTAAAACTCAAGAAGCTTCTAACTGCAAAGTTTATTTCTAAGTTAAAAAAAACCCCAAATTATGATATGAATGAAGAATCTCAAATTAGCAACTATAAAAAGTCTAACCAAGAATAAATAAACATAATAAGTAAAACTTTAGGAATAAAACAACTCCAATGTGATTTTTTTATTAAAAAGGTGATTACGTTCAATGAAATATTCTAATTTATTGTGTACAATACACAGATGTGTTCAGTGATACCTTAGACAAAATAGCTGGAAAAGCAGATGTCCCAAAACACAAGCAGTGAATTTTTAAAAAACCTTTGGAAATGGGAAAATGCATAGGATAAAAGCTCAGATGTGGACAATATTTAGAAATTAAACTAAAGCATGGAGGCACAGGTCACACAATCTGTGGGTTGTTCCAGACACCCATGGAAAGATTGCTGCAAAGACAATCAATGAAGAATCAAATCACAGACACATAATTAATGCCATTCCAYATGGCATTATGGAAAACAGGTTTAATCAAAATGGTAAGTTTGATGAGCTCAAGTGTGATTAAATATATTAACACAGTTACCTCTGATTTCTTTAATGTATTTGAGTTAATCACAGATGACATTCTGAGGCAGGTTTTTTGAGCAACAAAAAACCACCAGAGCAGCTTACAGGCTGTAAACTAGTTAACAGACTGAAATAATATTTCTAAACTGAAAAGAGCCATACAGTGATCTGATTCATCCCAAATCTGATCAAAATGTTTTCATGAAGATGGAAAACAAAAGATATAGTTTGCCTGAGAGGRGTCTCATGATGACACCAACATACAGAAGAGTGATGAAGATAAAGGAGAGATAATCACATAGATGGTTGYAAAGAAAAAAGCTATCAGAAAAATCTTGTAAACCAAGCTTTTAAGGGAAATGTTATTTGAAAAGGAAAACAAAAAACCCCAGCCAATTAAGAAGACAGAAACTCCCATAAAAASTTGTTCTGAACAGATAATTTGCACTGGAGTAGCTCATCCATTTCCAGACCCCATGGTTCTATTCAGCATGCTGACAGTTTTGAAAGGTTTCAGGAAAGGGTTAAAATTCTTAAAAAAAAAAAAGTCTACCTCAGATTAATCAGATAAGAACGTATTTTCACTGAAGAAAGGGTTAAGAGTTACATTTTACACAGCAAGAATAATAACATATGAAAAATTACTTAATATTGCTGAAAATTTTCTGTATGATGACAGTTTAGAATTAAGACTGCATATTTTTCTAAAAGATCCTGTTTTAGTCTGAGAACAATTTCTTGAGGGTATGCCAGGCACTCCCCTGCTCATGCTAAGGAAGGGGCCACATCCAGGCAATGCTCCATCTTGTACCCTTCAATTTTCCAGTCCAAGCAGCGTCCTCTCAGGTCACAAGAACTGAGAAAGAGTGGTCTGTTAGCATGCTCATGGGCTGGTTTTGTTGGCTTTGATTTCTTTTAATACAAGAAATAAGATAATTCATGGTTTTCTAYAAAGAAGATCAAGACTGCCCCTACCTGGGGGAGTCCGAACCAAAAATGAACACAAAAAAAAAATCTATTTTTTAAAAGAGGGTTCAATTTAAAACCAATGCTATAAATTACATAAAAGAAGAATTCAGAAAGTATATATTTGTTTTTATAATGCAATTAATTACTCTAGTTTAAGCTCCTAAGACAAAAAAAGCRTAAGAAGAATCCAGCTGTTCAAGTATCGTAAAAAGTCTCTGCATTGTTTTCCTCTGCAACTTTATATGTTATAAGAGAAAACTCCAACGCAAACATGACTTTCTGCTCCAAAGTGGTTTCACAAAACAGAACACCCTCAACTCATGTTTGGTCCAAATAAGAAAATGATTAAGTGCACCAGAAAAAAAAAAAAACAAAAAACAAAACAGACAAGTCCTCATGTACCTTGACACTGTATTAGAATGAAGGAGCTTGCTAAGAGAGCAGGATGTAGCTCACCACAGTCAATGGAAAGATGAACACTTTTTTTGCTGTTTTCCTTTTAAGATGGAATGAACAGCTYATTAAAGGCCCTCCTGTCATTACTGGAGGTTTATTATTAAGTTAGACTATATTGTTATCTACTATATATATAAAGTTGGTGAATGCTGTCCCAACAAAATTAATAGGTGATCTGAAGAAATTAATCTCTATTTAATCCAGAGCTTATATAGAAACGGTAACACTAACACATTTCAATTATTAGGTCAAAATTTAATGTTTAATTAAAAACTYATAGTAAAAGATCATCTTCAAAAACAGATATGAAAGTGAATGTGGAAATGGTAAATATCAGTTGCCTAAATGTTTATAATATCTCCAGCAGCCTCTTCTGTATTCATCACCCTCAACCCTGCAGTATCTGCTCCTTGAATTCACTGSCATTACCCATGCTGGTCAGAATGCTCCCTGCAAACAACACAGACAGTGAATSGTGTGGGAATGAAGAGCCCAATGGAYTCCTTGTAGTACAAGAACCACAGGTGTGAGCTGGGAGGCAAGGGACRAGGAGTGGAATAGCAGAATTTGATTTGCATGGGTCTGTTGAGTGAGCTCTCTTTGTTTTCTCCTGGTTTTC